ACACTGGTAGCTAACAACCCTGGTCAGTTTAAAAAACATGGTTGCTAAAACATGGGCTACAACACTGGTTTACAAAAACATGGGCAGCTAACAACACTGGGTTTACTAACAACACTGGGAGCTACAACACTGGTCAGCTAACACCCGGTCAGCTAACAACACTGGTTAGCTAACAACATGGTCGCTAACAACACTGGTTAGTAAAAACATGTCAGCTAACAACACTGGTCACTAAAAAATGGGACAACCTGGTCAGCTAACAACACTGGTCAGCTAACAACACTGGTTAAGCTAACAAAACCCTGGTCAGTAACAACACTGGCAGCTAACAACACTGGGCAGCTAAAACACTGGCACTAACAACACTGGTCAGCTAAACAACCTGGTCAGCTAACAACACGGTCAGCTAACAACACTGGGTTAGCTAAACAACACTGGTCGTCTAACAACATGGTTAGCTAACAAACTGGTCAGCTAACAACACTGGTCAGCTAAAACACTGGTCAGCTAGCAACACTGGCAGCTAAAACACTGGGCAGCTAAAACAACTGGCAACTAAAAAACACTGGTCACTAAAACACTGGTCAGCTAACAACCACTGGTCAGCTAACAACACTGGTCTGCTAACAACCCGGTCAGCTAACAACACTGTTTACTAACAACACGGTCAGCTAACAACACTGGTCAGCTAACAAAACGGGGCAGCTAACAACACTGGTCAGCTAACAACCTGGTCAGCTAACAACACTGGTCAGCTAACAACCCCTGGTCAGCTAAAACACTGGTCAGCTAAGAACACTGTTCAGCTAACAACACTGGTCAGCTAAAACACTGGCACTAACAACACTGGTCAGCTAACAAACACTGGTCAGCTAACAACATTGGTCAACTAAAACACTGGTCAGCTAACAACACTGGTCAGCTAAAACACTGGTCAGCTAACAACACGGTTACTAAACAACAAATGGTCACTAACAACACTGGTCAGCTAAAAACACTGGTCAGCTAACAACACTGGTCAGCTAACAACACTGGTCAGCTAAGAACACTGGGAACAAAAACACTGGTCAGCTAACAACACTGGTTTTTCTAACAACACAACCTGGTCAGCTAACAACACTGGTAGCTAAAACACTGGTCACTAACAACACTGGTCAGCTAACAACACTGGTCACTAACACACTGGTCAGCTAACAACTCTGGTCAGCCAACAACACTGGTTAGCTAAAACACTGGTTAGCTAACAACACTGGTTAGCTAACAAACAAATGTTAGCTAACAAATGGTCAGCTAACAACACTGGTTCCTAACAAACATGGTCAGCTACAACCTGGTCAGCTAACAACACTGGTCAGCCCCTTAGCAAAAACACTGGCATCTAAAAACCCCTGTCAGTTTAAAAACACTGGTCAGCTAACAACATTTGCTGGGTCAGCTAAGAACTGGAGCTACAAAAACTGGTCACTAACAACACTGGTCAGCTAACAACACTGGTTAGCTAACAAAAAACTGGTTAGCTAACAACACTGGTCAGCTACAAACTGTCGCTTAAGACAAACACTGGTCAGCTAACAACCCTGGTCAGCTAACAAAACTGGTTAGCTAACAACACTGGTCAGCTAACAACACTGGTCACTAACAACATTGCAGCTAACAACACTGCACAACACACTGGGAGCTTAAAACACTGCACTAACAACTTGGTAGCTACAACATGGTTAGTAACAACATGGTCTGCTAACAACATGGTAAAAAACAATGGTCAGTACAACACTGGTCAGCTAACAAACTGGTCGCTAACAACCTGGTCAGCTAAAACACGTCAGGCTAACAACACTGGCACTAAAATAAAAACAATTGCACCTGCAACAAACCTGTCGCAAATAAGGTGCAACAACGTAGTAAAAATGTTTCCCAAAAATGGTTATTAAAAATCATAAAAAACTTATAAAACTATAAATGGTAAATAAATAAAAATTTTACAATGGAAAAAAAAAACAAACCAGGTGTACCCAATAAAGATAAAAAAAAGGTTTCAACACGGAAACCCCCCAAACCCGGGTCACCTACAATTGGATTAAATTGGAACAAACGGTATACCGACAGAACTCACTTAACACTAAGTACTTACAACTAAATACCGGGTTTTTCAAATAACAAATTTTTATTGTAAAACATTTCAAAATAAATATTTTATTTAAAAAATACTAATAAATTAATTTAAAAACATAAAAACCAAATTTCATTTAAACTTCAGCCTTACATAAAAACCAACAAAAAACCTTTAAACACGTCAAAAAACAAACAATAAACCTCTCTTACAGTCATAAAACAAACCACTAACACAGAAACAAACACTCCTTACATAGTAAAAAACAACTAACTTCCCCCAAAAAACAAGGACAAACTCAATCACGAAATCAGCTAACACAAGAACACCTGTACCCAACAACAGGAACCTTCCCCGTACAAAAAAAGTTTAACCTCTACACAAAAAGCTAACACCCGGGGCCAAAAAAAACCCCCCCAGCAGTACAACAAACGACTAACCCACCAAACCCAACAACAACCCCAAAAAACCCCCCACATCAAACCAAAAACTAACCCCCCCCCTTTTTAAACAACCCGGGCCCCCAAACACGTCAAACAAAAGCTAACCCCGTCACTACAAAACGCTTAAAAAGCCCCAACACCAAAAACCAAACACACCTCCAACAAAAACACCACAAAAAACTTTTCAACTCACCAAAAAAACCCCACACAACACCAAAAACACCCCACTAAAACAAAAATACAACCCCCTCCCCTCAACAACAAAAAACCCACGTCCCAAACAAAAAACCCCCTACCCCAAAAAAAAAAAACCCCCTCCGGGAAAAAAAAACACCCCAAAAAAACAAAAGCCCCCTAAATAGTAAAAACAAACCCCTTTCCCAACCCAAAAAAATAAAAAAAAGTCAAACAAACCAAAAAAGCCTAAAAACAAAAAAAACCCCCCAAAAAAATAACCAAAACAAACCCAAAATCCCAAGGGGCCCCAAAAATTCCCCAAATTCCAAAAAAATCACCCAAACCAACCCCAAAAGCCAAAACCCCCCAAAAACCAAAAAAACCCCCAAAAATTAAAAAAATACATAATAAAAAAAAAATAAAAAATAAAAAAAAAATAAAAAAAAAAAAAAAAATAAAGACCCAAAAAAATCAAAAAAACCCCCCTCCTCAAAAAACAAAACCCCAAAAACCCTTTCCCAAAACCCCTTTTTTAAACCCCCCCAAAAAAAAAAAAAAAACAAAACCCCCGACAAAACCCCCGAAAAAACCCCCCCAACCACAAATAACCCAACACCCAACAAACCCCCCCCTTTTACCCCAAAAAACAAGACTACACCCAACCTCACAAAAAGCCCCAAATCAACAACAAAAAACCCCCCCCAAATCCTCACAAAAAAAGCACCCCCCACCCAACCCCCCCCCCCACAGAAACAACAACAAAAAAACCCCACCCAAAACACTGGTCAGCTAACAACACTGGTCAGCTAAGAACACTGGTCAGCTAACAACACTGGTCAGCTAACAACACTGGTCAGCTAACAACACTGGTCAGCTAACAACACTGGTCAGCTAACAACACTGGTCAGCTAACAACACTGGTCAGCTAACAACACTGGTCAGCTAACAACACTGGTCAGCTAACAACACTGGTCAGCTAACAACACTGGTCAGCTAACAACACTGGTCAGCTAACAACACTGGTCCTAGACATGAAAACATCATCACTGAAAAAAAAAAAAAAAACATACCACGGGCGGGGATACAACCCGCGATCAGAGTCTCAAAACTCCAGACGGTCGAGTTTTGAGACTCCCTGATCGCGGGTTCTATCCCCGCCCGTGGTGTGGTTTGTCTACAATCGTGTCATTATGATTTCGTGAGTCATCAACACTGAAGAAAACATCACAGATTACCTGTCACTATAAACTTTTTTGACATAGTTCTTCACTTACTAAATTTACGTCAGTTTTTATTTAAGTATATACAGCAAGAACCAAGTAATTAAAATATCTCGTAAACAGAATTATTGTACATATACATAAACATATATATATATATATATATATATATATATATATATATATATAATATATATATATATATATATATATATATATATATATATATATATATATATATATATAACATGTAGCCGGTGTGATCAATTATTATGTATGCACAATTCTTAGTGAAAGATAATGTTAGTCTCAGTACATGAAGAAAGAACCGCAAGATGTTAAGAAAACAATACATTTCTCCAGTATAAACAAAGTCCAGAAACATTTCGACTAATATCTTTGTGTTGTTGTGTCAATGATAATTGTGATAACTATAAGAATGTTGTTAGATGTCACATAATCGCTGGTTATTGTGAAAGAAGTGTTATCTTGAGTCAAAGTCAACTATTTAAGCATTTATATACTCATTAAAGACGTAGTGCCAGTTACTTGGACAGAGAGCAGTGCAGTGCAATACTGTTGCAACATTACTGCCACAGTTTGCAAGATGCCGGCATCATGAATCATTGAGTGTGTGGTCGAATTATTAAGACCAGACTCAGGTGGTTTTTCTCTACAAAAAAGGTTTAAAACAACAATATATATAATTATCAGAAAAATCCTTTGCGTTATTAAAGTTAATTTCTGACTTTATATGTAAGGAATATCACCTACCTTCTTGACCCGACCCACCCATCTAAATATTAATGCTGGATGACTCTTTGTGTTACATATATAATATAATATTATATATAATATTAATATATATATATATATATATATATATATATATATTATATATATCTAATTTATAATTATATATATATATATATATATTGTTTCATAATGTGAACACTAATGTTCTCACATTTGTTTGTTTCAGTGTCTTTTGTTTATTACGCAGAAACAGTGTTCTCTTGGTACATATATATGAATGATATATTTTTCCAGCAATGCCAGCAGAAGCTACAGTAGCCACTGCGACCTCTGGTAAGACCCTCAACACACAGTCTTGTCTTTCCTCGATCCCTTACTAGAGGTGTCGCTGCTGCCAAGTCTCTAGGCTCTAAATATTACCTGAGCGGACCTTATCTTAGCTGAGGTACACCAAGTCGCTTCAAAATTTATAACGTAAATAGAAACCTTAGAGATAATGTACAGTATTTTTGGCCCTCACTCTCTGCATTCCCTGTTAGTGAGAAAAAATAGTTTGGGTCGAGGTAGAGGTGACCGGGAGCTGTATATTCCACACCTACGATGTCTATGTTACTCAGTTTGGACAATTTACGTATTAGTCAACGTTAGAAGTTCAGATATATTCAATTAGTCTGCCTCAGTAACAACAATAACTTGTGCAGGGTAAATCTGTCATCAAATATGATAAAGTATCGTATACAACTATGTTTATAGCGCTGTAATGCTTTATAATCATAAGAAAATCATATCGTGTGATTAAAAAAAAGAATCGTATTACCTTATATTAAGGGCGTAGCTAAACCATGAGACTAAAACTGTACTGATGAACGACTGACTCGACTGACGACAACACTCAGATACAGTGACGACAACATTCAGATACAGTGACAACATTCAGATTCAGTGACAACGACACTCAGATACAGTGACAACGACACTCAGATACAGTGACGACAACATTCAGATACAGTGACAACGTCACTCAGATACAGTGACGACAACATTCAGATACAATTACGACAACACTCAGATACAGTGACAACAACACTCAGATACAGTGACGACAACACTCAGATACAGTGACGACAACATTCAGATACAGTAACGACAGCACTCAGATACAGTGACGACAACATCAGATACAGTGACGACAACATTCAGATACAGTGACGACAACACTCAGATACAGTGACGACAACATTCAGATACAGTGACGACAACATTCAGATACAGTGACAACATTCAGATACAGTGACAACGACACTCAGATACAGTGACAACGACACTCAGATACAGTGACAACAACACTCAGATACAGTGACAACGACACTCAGATACAGTGACAACGACACTCAGATACAGTGACGACGGCGCTCAGATACAGTGACAACGACACTCAGATACAGTGACAACGACACTCAGAGTGACGACGACACTCAGATACAGTGACGACGACACTCAGATACAGTGACAACGACACTCAGATACAGTGACAACGACACTCAGATACAGTGACAACGACACTCAGATACAGTGACAACGACCCTCAGATACAGTGACAACGACACTCAGATACAGTGACAACGACACTCAGATACAGTGACGACAACATTCAGATATAGTGACAACGACACTCAGATACAGTGACAACAACACTCAGATACAGTGACAACGACACTCAGATACAGTGACGACAACATTCAGATACAGTGACAACGACACTCAGATACAGTGACAACGACACTCAGATACAGTGACACTGACACTCAGATACAGTGACAACAACACTCAGATACAGTGACACCGACACTTAGATACAGTGATACCGACACTTAGATACAGTGACACCGACACTTAGATACAGTGACACCGACACTTAGATACAGTGATACCGACACTTAGATACAGTGACACCGACACTCAGATACAGTGACACCGACACTTAGATACAGTGACACCGACACTTAGATACAGTGATACCGACACTTAGATACAGTGATACCGACACTTAGATACAGTGATACCGACACTTAGATACAGTGATACCGACACTTAGATACAGTGATACCGACACTTAGATACAGTGACACCGACACTTAGATACAGTGATACCGTGGTGATACAGTGGTCAGTCGTCACGTGAGGTCACAGACCCTGAGCTGCTTGGGGATTAGCGTGGACGGTTACAAAGCATGGCTTGCTTCTACAGTGTTTTAAAAGCTGAGGTTGGAGAGTTGAAGGAGGAGGTCTTGCTTCTCCAGGAGGAGATTAGGAGGCTGAAGGTCCACCTCAATGGGCCTGGGAGAGAGTGTGAGGTGGTTGGAGATGTGGGGAATGAGCTTCTAGCAGTGAGGTGCAGTCTGTCTCTCACTGTGAGGAGGCTGTAGGTGGGGTGGTAGCAACGGCTACCAGCAGTGAGGTGCAGCCCAGCACCTGCTACAAGTGGCGAGTTGTTCACAGTAATGGGAGGCGCATCAGAGTAAGGAAAGTTAAGAGTGCAGATCTGAAGGTAGGAAATCGCTTCTCTGTTTCTCCAGGATGAATGTACTTCAGTGGCCAGTGAAGGTAAGGTTACTACTGCCCCTGCTAAGAAGGTAAGCGCATTCTTGTGGTTGGTGACTCTCAGGTAAGATATGTTGATCGTGCTTTTTGTAATAGGAATAAGATGATGAGAGATAGAGTGTGCTTCCCTGGAGCTGGTGTTGGGGACATTGTCAACAGACTGGATAATATCATGTCAGGTAATGGGAACAAGCCCATTATCTGTCTCAGTGCTGGTGGAAATGATATTGGGAAGGGTAGGAGAGAAGAGCTGCTAGATAAGTACAGGTCAGCTATAGATTTCATTAAGTCTAAGGGAGGGATCCCAATCATATGTAGCATCTTGCCTAGAAGGGGAGTAGGAAATGAATGGTTGTCTAGGGCAATTGGTGTAAATTGCTGGCTAGACAGATACTGCAAGGAACTTGCAATCCCATTCATTGACAACTGGAACAACTTTTATGGCAAACATGATATGTATGCAAGGGATGGGGTTCATCTCTCTGGGGCAGGGGTGGTAGCACTTGCAGACTCGATTGAGAAGGCCATTGGTGAAATGCCTATGATTTTAAACTGATGGAAGATAGAGGTATGGGTGTGTGTGGGAAACAAGCAGGTTGCAACACTAGGGTTGGAAACAGTAAATGTATAAAAGGCATTCAGCATGAAGTTATAAATAAAGACAATAGAACAGGTCAGCAAACAAAGGGGGACAGCAGAGGGCAGCAAGGGACTAGCTCCCTTAAGGTTTACTATACTAATAGCAGGAGTGTTAGAAATAAGATAGATGAGCTAAGATTAATTGCAAGTGCAGGAAACATAGATATTATTGCTATAACAGAGACCTGGCTCAATCTGAAAGATAGAGAGATGCCCTCTGAATGTCACATACAAGGCTATAAATTATTCCACACTGACAGGGTCAACAGGAAAGGTGGTGGAGTAGCGATGTATGTCAGAGACAATTTAAATTGTTGTGTTAGACAAGATATTAAATTAGAAGCGTCAGCCACTGAATCTGTTTGGTTACAGCTTCTCGAGGGCCGAGAAAAACTAATTTTGGGTGTGATTTACAGGGCCCCAAATCTTGATAGGGAGTGCAGTAAACTTCTATGGGACGAAATTCGTAAGGCATCTACATACGAAAATGTTGTGCTAATGGGAGATTTCAACTATAGACAGATTGACTGGAGCAATTTGACAGGAAATTTAGAGTCGGGTGACTTTCTTGATACGATCCAGGATTGTTTTTTAAAACAGTTTGTGACAGAGCCAACTAGGGGAAATAACCTCCTTGACTTGGTTCTTGCCAGTAGGGAAACACTAATTAATAATCTTGAGGTTAATGATGAGCTTGGGAGAGTGATCACAAATCACTCAGTTTTAACATATCATGGAATTCCCCTAATAATGGCAATCAAGTCTCCGTCCCTGACTTTCGCTTGGCTGATTTCATAGGACTGAAAAATTACTTAGGTGGGCTGAACTGGAATGACCTGACTAGGGGTCAGGTAGGTGGTGATGGTTGCCGATATGATGCTTTCCAGGGCATAGTTCTAGCTGCTCAGTCAAATTATGTTCCAAATAGGGAAATCAGATCTAACAAAAATGATCCTAAATGGATGAACAATAGATTAAAATATCTGATTGGTCAAAAGAGAGGCATATATAGGCAAATCAAAAGAGGAGAGGGGCAATTAAGAAATCGATATATTCAGTTAAAGAGAGAAATAAAAAAGGGAATTAGAAAAGCAAATAGAGATTATGAGGTTAAAGTTGCAAGAGAATCGAAGACTAACCCAAAAGGATTCTTTCAGGTATACAGAAGTAAGATCAGGGACAAGATAGGCCCCCTCAAAAGTTCCTCGGGTCAGCTCACTGACAGTGATAAGGAAATGTGTAGAATTTTTAACACATACTTCCTCTCAGTTTTTACACAGGAGGATACCAGCGATATTCCAGTAATGATAAATTATGTAGAACAGGACGATAATAAACTGTGCACTATTAGGGTCACAAGTGACATGGTCCTTAGGCAAATAGATAAATTAAAACCTAACAAATCCCCAGGCCCTGATGAACTGTATGCAAGGGTTCTAAAGGAATGTAAAGAGGAGCTTAGCACACCTTTGGCTAATCTTTTCAACATATCACTACAAACTGGCATGGTGCCAGATAAGTGGAAAATGGCAAATGTGATACCTATTTTCAAAACAGGTGACAGGTCCTTAGCTTCGAACTATAGACCAATAAGCCTAACCTCCATAGTGGGAAAATTTATGGAATCAATAATTGCCGAGGCAGTTCGTAGCCACCTTGAAAAGCATAAATTAATCAACGAATCTCAGCATGGTTTTACAAAGGGGCGTTCCTGCCTTACGAATTTATTAACTTTTTTCACTAAGGTATTTGAGGAGGTAGATCATGGTAATGAATATGATATTGTGTATATGGACTTCAGTAAGGCTTTTGACAGGGTCCCACATCAGAGACTATTGAGGAAAATTAAAGCACATGGAATAGGAGGAGAAATTTTTTCCTGGATAGAGGCATGGTTGACAAATAGGCAGCAGAGAGTTTGCATAAATGGGGAGAAATCAGAGTGGGGAAGCGTCACGAGCGGTGTTCCACAGGGGTCAGTGTTGGGCCCCCTGCTGTTCACAATCTACATAAACGACATAGATGAGGGCATAAAGAGCGACATCGGCAAGTTTGCCGATGACACCAAAATAGGCCGTCGAATTCATTCTGACGAGGACATTCGAGCACTCCAGGAAGATTTGAATAGACTGATGCAGTGGTCGGAGAAGTGGCAGATGCAGTTTAATATAGACAAATGCAAAGTTCTAAATGTTGGACAGGACAATAACCATGCCACATATAAACTAAATAATGTAGATCTTAATATTACGGATTGCGAAAAAGATTTAGGAGTTCTGGTTAGCAGTAATCTGAAACCAAGACAACAGTGCATAAGTGTTCGCAATAAAGCTAATAGAATCCTTGGCTTCATATCAAGAAGCATAAATAATAGGAGTCCTCAGGTTGTTCTTCAACTCTATACATCCTTGGTTAGGCCTCATTTAGATTATGCTGCACAGTTTTGGTCACCGTATTACAGAATGGATATAAATTCTCTGGAAAATGTACAAAGGAGGATGACAAAGATGATCCCATGTATCAGAAACCTTCCCTATGAGGATAGACTAAGGGCCCTGAAACTGCACTCTCTAGAAAGACGTAGAATTAGGGGGATATGATTGAGGTTTATAAGTGGAAGACAGGAATAAATAAAGGGGATGTAAATAGTGTGCTGAAAATATCTAGCCTAGACAGGACTCGCAGCAATGGTTTTAAGTTGGAAAAATTCAGATTCAGGAGGGATATAGGAAAGTACTGGTTTGGTAATAGAGTTGTGGATGAGTGGAACAAACTCCCAAGTACCGTTATAGAGGCCAGAACGTTGTGTAGCTTTAAAAATAGGTTGGATAAATACATGAGTAGATGTGGGTGGGTGTGAGTTGGACCTGATAGCTTGTGCTAACAGGTCGGTTGCCGTGTTCCTCCCTTAAGTCAATGTGACCTGACCTGACTAGGTTGGGTGCATTGGCTTAAGCCGGTAGGGACTTGGACCTGCCTCGCATGGGCCAGTAGGCCTTCTGCAGTGTTCCTTCGTTCTTATGTTCTTATGTGACACCGACACTCAGATACAGTGACACCGACACTTAGATACAGTGATACCGACACTTAGATACAGTGATACCGACACTTAGATACAGTGATACCGACACTTAGATACAGTGACACCGACACTCAGATACAGTGATACCGACACTTAGATACAGTGACACCGACACTTAGATACAGTGATACCGACACTTAGATACAGTGACACCGACACTTAGATACAGTGACACCGACACTCAGATACAGTGACACCGACACTCAGATACAGTGACACCGACACTCAGATACAGTGATACCGACACTCAGATACAGTGACACCGACACTCAGATACAGTGATACCGACACTCAGATACAGTGACACCGACACTCAGATACAGTGATACCGACACTCAGATACAGTGACACCGACACTCAGATACAGTGATACCGACACTCAGATACAGTGATACCGACACTCAGATACAGTGATACCGACACTCAGATACAGTGACACCGACACTCAGATACAGTGATACCGACACTCAGATACAGTGACACCGACACTCAGATACAGTGACACCGACACTCAGATACAATGATACCGACACTCAGATACAGTGATACCGACACTCAGATACAGTGATACCGACACTCAGATACAGTGACACCGACACTCAGATACAGTGATACCGACACTCAGATACAGTGATACCGACACTCAGATACAGTGACACCGACACTCAGATACAGTGATACCGACACTCAGATACAGTGACACCGACACTCAGATACAGTGATACCGACACTCAGATACAGTAGACGATAACCTTTGTTAACTACAAGGGTTCACCCACACACTGGCTTTATCAAGCCAGTGATGAACTGGCTTGATAAAACCACTGTGTGTGTGATACGTTGCATTTCATTATTTAAATACTCATCGGATACCACCATGGAGCTAAAAATTGTCAGAACAGTTTGGTTGATCAATGGAAATTATGTTTTTATGATTACTTTGCCTAGTTGTTAATGTTTGTCATGAGTCCCAGGTGGCAGCACTGCGCGCACCTTCACTCCTTACTTGGTTTTTCAATTTTCCGAACGAAATTTCCTATCCAGTAATGAATTTAAAATTTCCGGTTTCATGTATTTCGTCTCTGACAACATTCTACGACATAAATGAATTATTATTATAATCAAAACAAAGCGCTAAACCCACTAGGGTCAAACATAAACGACATAAACAAGGCGTCTCAGATACGCAATTAAGTAAATTATGATACTGTTTGTGTTTGTCACATTATACTTCTCTGACTTATACACCTTTCTGATACTTAGTTTGTACAGTAATGTTGTGTAGGTTAGTGTCGGTGTGTGTGTATATATATGCTATACAGATATTCCTGGATGTTTTATAGTAGCATTTCTTGTCAAGTCTAAACTTAAATATCAATTCGTATAAATAATTAATATTTTTTTAGTTTCTTTTTTCTCCAAGTTTCATTCTTGTATACATTTATTGTTTCATTCTCCCTGCACACTCGAAAGGAAACATTGAGTGTCTGTACCATGGTAAGGAATATATATAGCGTTTTATCCAGTTTTTCCTGCTGGACACTTCCAACCCCACCCGCAACCTTCGTCTATTTTAATCATAATGGAGTTTATTTATCTATCAATGCTTATCTATCAATATTGCCAAGTTGAACTGTTCTGACCAGTCAACTTGACCGTAAGTGTCTGTGTCATCTGTGTTAACTGACTGTTCACCCTGGCTTTTACCAAGCTTATTTCATGTTTGATCCTAATGATGTGTCTTAAGCTTACCTTGCTCTGGCGGAACTTTCACTTCTCTGTTGTCATAAATTATGTGTTTACGTGTACGATGTGTCGCACCGTCATGTCTGGCAGGTGTTTCCCTGCCCACTGTCACCGTCTCGCTCTATTTTCTTCCAAGGTAATGCGTGTTCCCTGAAGACTGCACTCTCTCTCATATTTATCATGTTAACTTCTTCATGGCGTATGTTTTACTCAACAAGTAACATCATGTTAATTGTTCCTCATTATGATGTTAAGTCTGCCTAGAGTTTATCCATGACTGGTAATTATTCCTTGTTTATCATAATGGTATTTTTGTCTTCTGTGGTATTAATTCTACTCTGTGTATTCATGTTTTTGTTAGTGGTATTTCTACGTCATGTGAACTATGGCGCTTACATGTTTTATTTATTGGTGTTTAATCCATCCCATGAGCGTTATTCCCTTCCCCTCCCTCACCTCTTTCACTCTCCTCCACTCCTCTCTCTCCTTCCCTTCCCTCTCACTCCCTCTCCGTAACTCACCCCTCCCAGCCTTTTTCCTCTGTTCCTCCTCCAAACTACACCCATATACCTCTAGACGTCCTCTTTGATACTGCATCCTTCATAACTATGTTCTATGATGATGATAATAATAATAATAATAATAATAATAATAATAATAATAATAATAATAATAATAATAATAATTATAATAATAATAATAATAATAATAATAATAGGAGTATTAGCAATAGTAACAGTTCTAACAACGAAAATAATAATTGAAATAATAAAACTAGCAAAATTACTACTAATTATAGTAGTAATAATTTCATAATAATTCTTGGTAGTAATGGCGTACCTTGTTTGCTGGCTTTTTAATTTCCTCTTGTCTGTTGTTGCTCGTTTTCATGTTTTATTTCCATAGTTTAGTTTTGCTGTTGTATGTTTCCACTCGTTTTGTTTTCAAACAATATCTTGAGAACCCTGATTACTAACGTTAAAGGAGAATTATTACATGTATGAGAGGAGTGTAGGTTCAATCCTCCGTCCAGTAAACAAAAGAAACGCGTACTACTTATACTCACATGTATATTGAGAAACTGAAGCGTGTTACTGAAATTAAGCAACGTAACTTCCCACGAGAGCGTTATGACATGTTATTTTTCTCAGATCTCTGCCGTGACTACGAGGTAAGATCTGTTTTACCCACTGTACAGGTGGGGATAGACCTCGCGGCAGCTAGTCGTACAACTACAGGCCAGCGCGTCAACCACTGGGCCAGCTTGCTACAATAGGATTTATCCAACTAGGTATATTTATGCACCACAGCGAGGTTATCATGGGCCAGAGTGGGGCCTGAGGTAACCTATGGTATATAAATATACCTAGCTGGATGAATCTTCTTATAGCCAGCTGGCCCATGGCTCACCCACTGGCCTGGAGTTTTACGACTCACTAGCCACTAGTTCAAGCCCCGCCCGTGTAGTGGCTTATATTATGATTTCGTGAGTCTTATTAAAGATGTTGTTTCACCTGATAGTGACTGATCCATAGTAAGACACATTGTGAGGCGCACTGTCTGCCAGGGTGTGTTATATGCCAGCGTAAATTTTCTATATTATAGTTATTATTGCACTCACAAGAGCACTTGCTCGTGTGCACACAAGAGCACTTGTGCACTCTTGCATGAACATTCGCTAATACATGCAAAAAAGGTCACAGTCGCATACCTGCACAATATTTTTATGACACACCTTCCTCACGTTCTGATCCTGTACGATATATAACTAGTTCAATATTTGATTCATAAATTCGTGTGTGTTGTTATTAACTGTGTATATCTCTCCATGCTCACGTGTGAAGGACTCAAGAACGCACCTTCATCGGGTAAGAGTTTTATTTTGTATTTATTATTTATATCGCATCAAAATGCAATACTGCACTGATCTATTCTATATGATCCCATTTTTTTGGAATAAAACAAAGTTACGCTGCCTGGGTGTTTCAGCCTGAGTGTTTCAGCCTAAGTGTTTCAGCCTGTGTGTTTCAGCCTGTGTGTGAGGGTCTCTTTCAGGGAAGTGTAACGTGGATGATGTTACATTCTTCAAGGAAACTAAAGTATCACGTGACACAAGTATTGATCTTGTTATGAGTGGGTCAGTTATTGTTGGGGACACAGCAGGAAACATGCAGTGAGAGGCATTGTTACAGACGATGTTGTCTGCTGACACAATGCAGATGTTAA